TGTTGTTTTGGTAAAGTAAACATTTGGGTAAAATTGCAGCTAAGCTTTTTTTGTGGTTTTCTCCTGATGCAGCTCAGCTCATCCTAATCTTTTTTGATTTTTTTTGTATTGTTTTTTGKGAAGTTGGTCTTAAAATAAGCTCAAGTGGCATTAAATAGTCTTAAAAAGTCTTAAYTTTAACTTGTTTCAAGCTGTATGAACCCTGACAACYAGTGGCAGGCCTTTAATTCTGTTCTATTTGCATTATTTTTTTATTCTAACCGGACTGTCTCTGCATAATTTGTCACGTTTTTTCTGCTTCCTCTACATTTCTGCAACAAAATAATTGTTTTATCATTGTTAAAAAACATTAGACATGAAGAATTTTCAGACTTATTAGTGCTCTGTGTCCTCCTGCAGGAGCTCACATTTGTGCTGCTTTAAAATTTGAAAATAGGTCAAACACYCTGGGGCAAAAAAATAAATAAATAAAAAAATGAAACCCACAAGTAATATGACTCAGTGTAATAAAAACGCTGCTTTTTCAATCTTAGAAGTTTATTTTTGATGTCCCCGCTTTCATCTTGGATACTTGCTTCCCCAGTCATTAGCCTAATCCAAGCAGGCATTTCTAACATTTCTACCACGTTTTACGCGTCCTCCGCACAGACGCTTCGGTTCCCCGCAAGATCCTGAGACATCAATCAGGACTGAAAAATGGTTTGACCAGAACAGAAAACTGGAGATGCTTCACAGCGATAAAATCCCAGCCCTCGTTATGTAACGAGTCTTCAAAGTCCCCAGCCTGCTTTTCTGCCAGGTTTCTGCAGGGAGGACACACACACACACACACACACACACACACACACAAACACACACAGAAAAGCACAATTTGCCAAGATGGCCAACATAGCAGCCCACACTGCTCCTCTCTCTGAGCCCGGTTTTAAAATAGCTCAGCTGCCTCTCATGTCTTTACCATGATTTTTGTTAGTCTTATATAATCTGCACCTCTTCATGCTGCTGCCTCCATTTTCTCTCACTCTCTATTCAGCACTGAAGAAAAAAAGAAAAAGGTGTCAGAGTAATTTCTTTATTTCATGACGAAGGTAGCCGGTCTGTTCTTGCCCAGACAAACATAAAAAAGGTCCTTGTATTTACAGCCTTTGTGACAGAAATGTTGGAAGTTTGATTTTTCTAAAACTCTATTTCGGATCATTTTTGCTCCATCGGGAGTGCTCAGAAAGGATTTGTCCTTGCAAACAAATGTGTCTCATCAAAGTCGATAAAACTTTTTAATAATAACGGATCAATTCGGAGTGATTTTCTCTAATTGGTAGGGCTGTGTATTGGCAAGAATTTGGCGATATGATACATATCATGACAGAGGGGTCACGATACGATATATCCTGATATATTGCGATACTGTAAGCAAGGCGATATATTGCGATWTTTTTTGTCCAAAAATTCTATTAATTAAAAACCTCTTACTGGGAAAAAAAAATGAAAAACCAAAATTCGTTGTCTCAGAAAATTCTAATATTACATAGACATACTTTTGATACATTTGGCTGTGTTCTGCTTTGTATGTATTTTATTTTATTTGTTTCATATTTCTTATTTCATCCATGTTTTCAATTATTAGACTAAATTTTGCCAATAAATAGTTTGAAAACATATTTTTTGCAGCTTTTAGTTTTTAATGTCAATTTACAATATGGTCACCCAACACTTAACAATAGCCTCTACCTCAAGAGGTAGAGGAGCCAAATGGCTGGCTCACTGCTGCCAACTAGTGGTCAGAGCCTGAACTGCAACATAAAAATGAACGACTGGCAGGAAAGTTGACATTTTAAACCTTAATAAAAAATTGATACAGGGCCTTAGAATATCGATACAGTATCGGGAAATGAAGTATCGTGATTTTTCAGTGTATCGATATTTTCTTACACCCCTACTAATTGGTAGTTTTAGTAAAGCACAAATTCTGAATTGATTTGTGGAACACAAATGAGACCAATCTTCAAATTGTACCCAGCTGTAATTATGGAAGATTTTATGATCGGATCTGAAAAAAATACTCAAAAAACTTAATTTAGTATATTTAAATGGCGCAAATTTAAAATGAGTCTTTATTAGGTATTAATTTCTGGTTTACTCTAAGATGCCGTTCAGCCACATGGAAACTTTTTTGTTTTTCCAGAAAATGGTATCCAGCGTGAACAAATCCTGAAAACCAACCCTTGACAGTAAAAACACAACTATTTGAAAATGACATCATTTAAACCTACAACCTGAGAGAGTCCTCTTTTGTTTTATTCTACATTTGGATGAGGCTCTCAACTTGTTTCCTGTTTTTTGTGTATAACGGTGGCAGCATCACAGCGCCACCCACAGGCTTGGCATAGTTACTACAGAAGTTTGGGTCATTTTCACGGTTTCTGTGGTTGAATACATTTCAAAAATTCTCAACTGTATACTGTAGCATAACTGCCCAAGACATATTTGGTCATAAATGACATGCATATGCTATGAGGCTAACAAAATGGTAACATCTTTACGAGAATTTGTTTATAAACAAGACATAAAAAGATAGTAGAAAAACCGTTTCATCTTTCCTGGTGGCTTTACTCAACTAAAACATCATGGATGTGGGTCTGAGTGRGAGRAGTGTTGGTGGTCTGAGATCTCKCTGTGGGTCGGTAAAGAATTGATGTCCAGGATGTCGATGTGTAAAGTGAGGCTGCTGATGTGCGGATTGATACCAACCATCGATACCGTATCTTTATGCACTAAAATCAATACATTATCTTCACCTGCTTCTTCTTTTCCGGTTCATGGGTGTCAATGGTGCCCATGTCCAGGGGTCACTCTGCGAGGGGCTTCGTACACCCTGGACAGGTCTCCAGCCAATCACAGGGCAACATAGAGACAAAACCATTCACTCTCTTCACCTAGGGACAATTTAGAGTTACCAATTAGCCTGACATTAATCTCTTTGGTCTGTGGGAGGAAACAGTAGTAAGAAAACAGAAGACGCAAACTCATAAAGGTCCTCAGCTGGGATTCAATCCGGCAACCTTCTTGCTGAGAGGCAACAGCTCTTACAACTGAGGCATCAATTCTAAAATAAAAATATAGATACTCTGTCATTTCAGATAATGAAAAGTAACTAAAATAATGAAATCTTGTCTAAATCATTTGCGGTTGATGGGAACTACTTTTTTCCTTCTGCCTGGGTAACGCACAAGCACAGCAGCTCAGCTCAGATACTAAGGTGTTACATGTTCATGTTTTTTCTCTTATAGTAGTTRTTGATAATTAAACCCCATTTATTTGATGGTTTTATTATTTTACCTAATTTTTTCAGTGTTTAAAACATTTTCACATATTTTGCGTGATTGTGTTGCTGTTTGGTTTTTCTATTGTTTTAGCTCGGCTGTAAAAGAGGATGCTACGTCAACATAGTTAAAAATGAATAAATTACATATTTAAAATATTTATATTTAAAATACCATTTTTTTAGATTTACGAGACAGGTGTGCTTGCACAGAGTATCAGTCTCAGATCAGTATTACATGGGTTTTACTCCATATCAGAAGGGAAATTATCAAACATAACTCGGGTAGCTGAGAGTCATCCCCAAACACACACTCTAAGTGCTCACAGAGTGAGAAAGATCTCAACTGAAATCATTTACAGAATCAGAAATCCAACATCTAACCACTGTTACATGAGCACGGACACATTTTAACAGATTTGTAGACGATAAATACTCCCGACTGTGCGGCTGTTYTAATTACTGCTGGGATTTGGAGGCGTTTTTTGTTGTTTACAGTGTTTAGAGGTTGGTTGTGTAAGCTTGCTGTATGTAAAGCTTTTTGTTAAACAGTAACCCAGACCCGCCCTTGAATTATGATGTCCTCCGCTTTTATATTCCTGAGCGCTGGTGTGTTTCGATCCTGCCCGGGCTCCGTCCGTCCTCCTCTCTTCACACATGCGGAGCATACAAACAGCGAGCAGCACCCACACAATAACAACTCACACATTGATAAAATAAAAGCCAGCTGCCGCTCCAACACACACTCCCTCTCACACACACAAAAAAAAAGCAAAGATGAGAGATACTGGAAGATAGAGAGTGCTCAAACGTTTCTGTGATGATCACAGACAGAACAGAAATTA